GGAAGGTTGTGTGGGCAACAATGTCTGCCTCAGAAACTCGTGCGGCCGTGATCAATGGCGCACAAGTGGAGACTGAGACCAATTACACCCTCCCCTTGTTAGCGAGACTCCTCAATACCGCAGGCAGTCGTAGCACAGTTAATTGCTAAGGAGAACGTGAAAGTAAAGCGGAGTGGAATTTGTATCCCTCCTTTAAGAAAGCTTGATTAGAATAAGATATTTTCATTTCGGTAAAATTTGTGTTAATAGTATGTGACTATTTGAATTATATGTGATTGTACACACATAATAATTGATCTGTGATAATTGTATGTGATTTGAAGTATGTGACTAATTATTTCCTACTTTTCCGTTCTATACGATTTGGACACTGTTAAGAAGCCTCTTCCAACACTTATACCGCTGAGATTTGTGTAACATTTAACTACTTCAAATATAAACAAATTTACCGATAATGGTAATAACTGACGAAATTCCTAATTAACACCTGTTGATACAATACATTACAGCTTGTACTGGAATATTTTGCCCAAGTTGTTTCATGAAGCACGTGTGTAATGGTGAGGCTACAGTTTCACTTTCTCACAAGATTCCTATCACGATATTTCTCATTATGTAAAATAATAACTCATGTTGCTGTACATTAATTAATATTAAAACAGACTCTAGAGTGGAGTTGTAACAACAGTGATGTACACAACAATAACAACGAAGGTGCAAGTATTCAACACAATAAAACTATTCTAACTTAGCCTAAAAAACAATTACAAATAATTAACAGGATAACCCGTAAGCTATACAATCAATTTATGTTTTTCATATGTTTCCACATAATTGATTACGTTAGGATAGGTTCGAAAACCCTTAATTAAGGATATGAGAATTTACAGCTAAACTGTACGCAATTAAAACAAATTGCACACTTGCTGGGATTTTTTTTAGTGTCAAATATGATTAGCTAAAACCCAGTGAGTCGCAGAGCCATAATACAGTACTAGAGATTTATTCCGGAACAGTCTGCAGTATGTCATTAATCTGTAGGTCGTCCTCCATAATTTGGTCACAAGATGCAGTAGCGTTTGATGACATAAGTGTCCATTCCATATAATTCTTCAATTAAAATAGGTTGAGAATGAAGCACAATAGCGCACTAATCAATGAAAATAATAACTCAACGCACTGTGTAACAATTAACGTAGCTTATACATGCGAATACAACTTCACGGCTGAAACACTGGGGGAGGATTTACATGTTAGGGGAGGAGTGGATGATTTTGGGAGGGTGGAGAATTGGTGTAGGGTGAGGAAGGATGGTTGGGAGGAGCCGGAGGATGGTTACAGGGAGGATGGCGTATGGTTGAGGATGTTTGGAGGAGGGAGAGAAAATATGCCGGACGGGAACGGGCTGCATGTGTCTTTACATGAGCGCTTAACTAATGCTACGGGCTCACCATAGCCCGTGCTACTTGGAACTTTGTTCCATGTAGCGAATCTTTTCAACAACAACTTAAATAATAATAATAATAATAATGATTCATTGTGTCGGGGAACAGGCAGCCAGAGTGTAACTTATTTAGTTACCACTAAATATTAAAAGCCAGAATGATGTAACAAAAAAATTTAAAATGACAATGAAATCAAAGTTAAAAAAAATAGATAAATTATATCATAATTTTAAATTACATGGAAAAAACACACCGACGACTTCCGGCCAGAGTAATTACCGTAATTATGGACGGAACGTTCAAAAACGTTTTATACTATTAATTTTATTAAAGACACGAGAAAGAAGGCAACAACCAAAGCTATACTTCCCTTGGCCTGGCATACCACATACAGTATATGTATTAAGTTAGGCTTTATATGGCGTACATTAGGCCTACGATTGTTAATTTAGGCCTAAGACATGTTAGGTTTAAGCTACTATTCCAGTTTCTGAGTATTAGTGGCTACATGTAATTTATATAATGTACCTAAGAATACTCTACTCTATCATGTTTTAAATGTAATTTATATGAATAAATATTATTATAATATTATTATTCTAAGTAGTATAATTTTTAGAGGATGGCTTCCTGTCTCCGTCAAGGCCACTAGAGAGAGAGTGGCACTTATGTAAGTTCAGAGTTATATCAAATGCATCATGCAGGTCGGCGTTCAGTCCCCGACCGTCCACAAGTGGTTGGGTACCATTCCTTCCCCCCGTCCCATCCCTAATCCATATACTGATCCCTTCCCAGTGCTATATAGTGGTAATGACTTGGCGCTTGCCTCTGATAATTGCCTCCCCCCCCCCGCCTTCCATAGTGATGCCGCCTTAAGGTTAGTCAGAGCTGCATTAATTGTCACCATCTGCAGGTGGTGATAATTAACTCTCAGAGATACATACTTTAAGCAGAGCAACAATAACTAAGAATTAAAATAGTCTCTCTAACAATCAAAATACTTATTCATTTTCTATAATATACACGGAAATTCGTTTTCTTTAATCTGCACCGAAGACACGTTTATTTCCTGTTTTTTTTTTTTTTATACACTTTAAATTAAGAGAAGTCTTTCGACTTTAGTCTTTTCGGTTTAAAACACGATCCTTGAAATGGTTTACGTTCAAAACTCTAAATACTGTTCAATATGTAGGTGGTTCCGAAAGTTCTTCTACTCTCCAAGCCTAGTAGAGAGTAGTAGTGTCTACCCGAAACGCTTTGCTTAATAGTGGCTTTAGGCATTGTATGTACTAGCTCCATCTATAAATCCATTAACTTTTATATCTCACTCTGTATGTATGTACTTTACCTGAATAAATATTTGTATTTATAGTATGGGCCAAGCTTTGAGTTCACAAGGACAAATGGTGAAGATTCGGCACTAAATCATCCCACTTGTCCAGAATTCGAATCGTGGTCGTCTCACATGTTGTAGTATTATTATGGTATTCGTGTATTATTTAGCCATATGTATGTGACTCAAATCTGCCTCTCACTAAGCTGATACGACATTGCCGCCATCGTCACCTGTCATTATCTGCAGTGCTTTGTTTATGCAAATATTACTGCAACGTTGGTGCAGTTTGGCTCCTTTTAATTTCTTTTGTTTTCCCTCAACTACCATATCTCTCTTGTGGCCTCGACGAGGATAGGAAGGTGTGAGTATTTTGTACTTACCTGTGAGTGCACAATAAACTACCGCTCGGGTGAGTATGGGGTGCACAATAAACTACCGCTCAGGTGAGTATGGGGTGCACAATAAACTACCGGTCAGAGGGTGAGTATGGGCTGCACAATAAACTACCGCTCGGGTGAGTATGGGGTGCACAATAAACTACCGCTCAGAGGGTGAGTATGGGCTGCACAATAAACTACCGGTCGGGTGAGTATGGGGTGCACAATAAACTACCGCTCAGAGGGTGAGTATGGGGTGCACAACTACCGATTACAACACATGTGAAAGAAAAATGGATGGTGCGAAAATTTAGAAGATTACCTGCATTGGATACTCCCTAACCTTCACAAGCACGTAAATTATATAGTTGAAACACTGTATTAATACCGTCCATTGAACCATCTTCACTGCTAGCAATACAAGGTGAACGTAACCTTATAAATATATGTAACCACATGGAAACTGGCACGTGGTTAGTGTAGCAGTGATCATTGATCATTCAAGGTGAGGAATGTACCGGGAGCCCTCAGGTGGGGGCCGCCGGCAGCCCGGTCACCCTCGGCTGCTCCCAGCGTCCGTGACTCCTACATCCCTGACAGGTAGGTATACACCTCACATGGGAGTGAATGTCACATATGTATGAGTACATATTTATATTTAGTATAAAGGACATACGTATAGCGTTGATTATAGCTAGTAGAATCACCATAACCGTGATATGTATGACTTATTAGTGCAGTACACAGTCAATCCAGTGTGACACAATGGAATACATTGAATCTGTTTTAGTCATATTTATCTGTCATAATATTATCTGTTCTTCATTGCCTATAAGGACTGTTGGCGTAAGTTAACCTTGCGGACTAGAGAATATAATCATGCATGAATCTCTGGGAATCCCACTTTCCTCCCCACATACCTTATCATCATTTACGATTTTCTCCTTCTCTGCTACATCGGAAGCACATTTATATCATTATTTCTTGAAGAGAAGACGTTGTTTCATGCACCTGTGCACTGCTTGCCTTGCGTGAGTCTACATACATGAGCTGGTCACGTGAACGTCCTAGGGCAGTTGATGTCAGCCACCATAATTGGCAGTTACTGCAGAGCCTATACGGGAACGTGGTTAATTACTATGTTAGATTACACTTTCTGAGCATATGGATACCAATTGTATTCATATGTGGTAAGAATCATGTAGAAAGAGAGGTAGAGAGACGTTACTTTTACAATATATAAGAACCAGCAGCTTCCTGTCTAGTGTTACTGGGGGAAGTCCAATCACTACATAGCGAGATAGGCTACATGAAGCCTATGTTTTGAACCCACAATTAACCCATCATGTGGTGGTACTGAAAAAGTTAGAGATACAATAACAGCAGTAGTGAACGACACTTAAAACCTTAATATATGTAAAGGTCGAGTATTTGTCTAAATTTTAGGTATTGTTATTGTGGATGAAATATCTGAACTTTTATATTGTGAACGAATTTTCTTATTGTTTTACATTCAAGTCCATGCAAGTGGTGAGACTCGGGCTTCAGGTGACCAGTACCTACCTGACTCTCTCAGGTCTTTGTTGTTCTCTTAATTTCGATGCGTAGTACTATCGTCAGTGTGTACACATTTGTTTTAATCAATAATCTTACTTTTCTGCAATCTTCTCTAAACCAATAAGCACCTATGACTGTCCAGTTTCCACGACCCCCAAAATAAACAACACCCCCCCCCCCCTTCCACACACACACACACACACACACACACACACACACACACACACACCACAGACACATACACATACACATACACACACACTACACAGTACACATACACACACACACACACACACACACACGCACCTATAAGTATCCCGGCAGCCGCCTCTTCCCTCAGACCTTCACAACTCGTCCGTGTTAACCTGTCGAAGCTCCGCTAACCCGGCCTCTGCTGCCTTGCTCCAGCACGTAGTCCACGCTCTTTTGACTTGTAAGTACTCATCTAGTTGTGCTTGCAGGGGTTGAGCTCTGGCTCTTTGGTCCCGCCTCTCAACCGTCACTCTACTGGTGTACAGATTCCTGAGCTTCTCAAGCTCCTTTATATCTACATTTGAAACTCTGAATGGAGTCAGCCTCCACCACATCACTTCCTAGTGCATTCCATTTACTAACTATTCTGACTGAAAAAGTTCTTTCTAACGTCTCTGTGGCTGATTTGGGTACTCAGCTTCCACCTGTGTCCCCTTGTGCGTGTACCACCCGTGTTAAAATTCATCCTTGTCTACCCTGTCAATTACCCTGAGAAACTTGTATGTGGTGATCATGTCTCCTCGAGCTCTCCTGTCTTCCTGCAACGTGAGGTGCAGTTCTCTCAGCCTTTCCTCGTAACTCATGCCTCTTAGTTCTGGGACTAGTCTAGCGGCGTACCTCTGAACTTTTTCCAGTTTCGTTTTGTGCTTTACAAGGTACGGGCTCCATGCTGAGGCCGCATACACGCTGCCGATGTTATTCTTTTGATATGAGTTTCAGGAGACAGGTTTGGCGTGATATCAACTCCTAGATCTTTCTCTCTGTTCGTTTCGTGATGGACTTCATCTCCCATTCTGTATCCAGTGTCAGGCCTCCTATTTCCTCCCCCTAGTTTCATTACCTTACATTACCTGGATTTGAAGCCTATTGGGATTTTACTGTAAATTCCCATTTTTGTTTATTTTGGTGTACGCGGCATGACCCATGTACAGCTAGCCTCATCTTACAATATAGTGTTCTACCCCCCACAGGTTCACCAAGATCATGCCTACACTAAAGTTTCTCTTGGTACCGGCGGCCCTCGCCCTGTTCTTTGTAGGTAAGTCATATTCTTAAAATAATCTCTATTCTCATTTTTTTTCTAGCGTCTTCCGAATGTGTTGTTGGAATTATCAAACTGATAGTATGAGAGAGACTGCAGCAGTTGTGGTGGTGGTGAGCCTATGACTCTCTGGACTCTGGAGTGTTATTCAATAGTTTACTGATAGTAGGTAGTACCACAATAGTTTACTGATCAACCAACAAGTTTACCCAAGTCCTGAACATAGTTTAGTGTAAAATAAGCTCAGTGTATTTAACAGATAAGAGTGTTATATCTCCCGGTAATTCCATACGTGATTAGTTGTGCTGTCATTAAGAATCCTGAAATGTACTCGTGCTTTGTACGAGTTTTTAGCAGTGTGTGTAACGCGTGTACATTTGGTCGTACAAGACTCTGGTCCACTGTTGATGTGAGAGTTATTAAGTACTCTGGAACTGTCATGTCACACATCCAGACTTGGCGAACTTCAAAAAGTGAGTCGCGATCTTTAAGAAGTGATCGGTATTAAAGTTTATCAACATGTTCAATGTCTTTAATTCCCTAGAAAAGTCAGATCTGTCTGGTGTTGCTTGCAGCCTCAGCCTGTTGCCCTCAGTCTCTTATTTTGTTTTATTCTATATTTCAAAAGTACAGCATCCTGGTATGAGAGTTCTTTTTTTTTTTGTAAGTCAATTCTTTATGCTAAGTAAGGTGCAGTGACCATATGGGTGGTACTAGAATGTCATTTTATGCGTTGGCAAGTTAGATTTGTTTAGTTATCATTGATTTATCTAAGGAAAGTTATGATTTTTCAAGTAAATATTTATATTTTTACAAACTAATATAGATAATAAAATCTTTAAAACACTCACCTGCAATAATTTGTCATAAAAGTGTCACTTGAAAGAGTTAAAATACATTGTGAACTCCCCTAACTAACTCTGCTCTTTTTCCCTCTTGGTTGGACGACCACAGGAGAGGCTACGGCCGCCTGCAGCGCCTCAACCATCGAGTGTCGTACTGGTGGTCAGTGTGTGAGCCTCGTGTCTGTGTGTAACTCTGTTCACGAGTGTCCTGATGGCTCGGACGAGGACTACCAGATATGTCAGGTAAACACACTTTGGGCAGAGTTTCTTTCACCCTATGCCCCTGTTACCTAGCAGTAAAATAGGTACCTGGGTGTTAGTCAGCTGTCACGGGCTGCTTCCTGGGGGGTGGAGGCCTGGTCGAGGACCGGGCCGCGGGGACACTAAAGCCCCGAAATCATATCAAGATAATCTCAAGACTATCACTCTCATGGAAACGTATGCCCTGTGCAGCTGCCCCAATCAAGCAAGAATGTTCCATATGTAGCTTACAGCTATGCAAGAATATACTATATATAACACTACTACATTCATGCAAGAAAATATCGTGTTTGGTAGTTTGTGAGTAGGGTTGTTGTTGTTATAGATTCAGCTACTCGGAACAAGTTCCAGGATAAGGCACTAAAGTGCCTTATCCTAACCTACCATAGGACCCACGAACAGAAAACGGAACATTATGTCAATTTCGCGAGCCGCTATCATTTTCTTGTACAACAATTGTTGGCCTTGAGTAAAGTATACGTCAAAATGCGACGTGTTATTAGGACCACGGGTTGGGGGAGTTAGTGGGGAGGGTGAGTGGCCATCTTCAAGGACAGTCAGCAGTGGGAGGGGCAAGTGACCTTGGGGATTTCCGGGGGTCATGATGACGAGGGGGAGGAAGGAATTTTTTTATTATTATTATTATTATTATTATTATTATTTTCTACCACAGACGTGGCCACACATTTACAATGCTAACCAGCATATATACATTTTCTTCTGTCCTCCATGGACAGGGTTAGAGATCAGTTAAACTTGTGGGAGGGCGGGCTGTAGCCCGTCAGATATGCTTATTATTATTGGTGTTATTATTCCAGATATGGAAATCCAACAGAAACAACTGTCCAGCCGGGAACTTCAAGTGCCAAGGAAATTGTTTCGCTGTTCAAAATGTCTGCAGCAGTACCAGCAGTTCGTCGAGCACTTGTGCAGGAGTGCTGGACCCCAGGTCGTGTCAGGTATGGCAAGTGTAGCAGTCACACACCTGGCCGCCCTCCCTCCATCACACACCTGGCCGCCCTCCCTCCATCACACACCTGGCCGCCCTCCCTCCATCACACACCTGGCCGCCCTCCCTCCATCACACACCTGGCCGCCCTCCCTCCATCACACACCTGGCCGCCCTCCCTCCATCACACACCTGGCCGCCCTCCCTCCGTCACACACCTTGCTGCCCTCCCTCCATCACACACCTTGCTGCCCCCCCTCCGTCACACACCTTGCTGCCCCCCCCCTCCGTCACACCTTGCTGCCCCCCCTCCGTCACACACCTTGCTGCCCCCCCTCCGTCACACACCTTGCTGCCCCCCCTCCATCACACACCTTGCTGCCCCCCCTCCGTCACACACCTTGCTGCCCCCCCCCTCCGTCACACACTTTGCTGCCCCCCCCTCCGTCACACACTTTGCTGCCCCCCCTCCGTCACACACCTGGCCGCCCCCCCCTCCATTACTCTCAGTTATTTTATGCACTATAAAATTATAGGCACATATGCGAAAGTAAAGTTGTAAACACTTATCAAATAATGAATCATTGGGATAATTGATAGGCTGAATTTTGTTAAACCTGCAACATATCGAGATCAGGCGGTCATAGCCTTGTATTATGAAATTAACTGAATGTACCTGAAGTCCACTTATCTCCAGTGGCTTTAACAAGGGACAGAAAATCAGCGGCTTGTCAATGCCCCACCCCTTTTTTTTCTGGTGAATTTGTTTTCAGATTAAGTAATTTACGGCTTCGCGGGTAGGCAGGTCCATGGGTTTGTAACCCAATGGACCTACTGACCAACCGGCAGATATATTATAGCCCAGAACTAATGTAAATGCTCAATGTACATACAGTGAAGAGCGGGTACACTGTGTTCAAGTGCCACACACACATAATATAATATAATATATATATATATATATATATATATATATATATATATATTGTGACGGTAACGCGTTGGTGTTCGGCTGTTTCAAAAGCTAGGGGTATGGCCTCGTCACATATAGAAACAAAAAGAGAAAATCTGGAACTTCGTCTGTGGTAAGGTAATGAGAAGACACAAAACACAAGTAAATTTAACAATGAGATTTTAATTACGTTAGAAAAGCAAAACATGAATAAAATGGTCATAAAATTCGTATCATAAAATCAATCAATCAAAATAATAAGAATAATCAAATGACAAAATGAAAAGTTACGTTAAGACAAGTGAGTAATAACAAGTGAACAATATACAATCAGATATAGGTGCAGGAATATTGGCTTTAAGCTGCCACCTCTCTTAGTACACGTAAGCCAGAGCTTAGTCTACCAACGAGACGTGTTAACTTGTTGAAAGCACTGGATATTCTGAGGTCTCTAGGTCGTGGTGGCCCCAGACATCAGGTAGTGTGGTGGTGGAGAAGCAGGTGCGACTGACCACCGGCCAATCAGCGATGAGCAGGCGACGGACAGGTAGTTTGGTGGTTCGAGTGGCGGGGGGAGCAGGGGTTCCTGGTGCTGAATACGTTTGCTCTCTGGCAAACCTTGGTGTTGTATTTGTTGGATATTTCTTCCATATTAGTTGTATAGGGATGTATAGCGACGAACTTAGGAGGGAAGAGCAGGCTCAATCTCTCTTGAAGGAGATTATCGTCACAATATATATATATATATATATATATATATATATATATATATATATATATATATATATATATATATATATATATATATATATATATAATATATATATATATATATACACATATGTGTGTGTGTGTGCAAAGTACACACACACACAAAGTAGTTGTTAATAAGAATAGTATTCAAAAGAGGTAAATAGGAGAAAATAAGGGAGTTGCTATTGAGAACAAGACGAGTTACTGAACTATTCGGGAAGCCCCAGATGACGACGCCAGGTTAGTTTTGGACCACACAGTTCGGGGTTTGGGATGTCAGATTAACTAATGCACAAAATACTGACTGTTGCCGACATAGTTCATATTTTGTACATAAACATCGTAAGCCCGCCGACCCTTTGTTTTGATAATGGACCAAAACATGCTCCTTATTTGTTTAGGTAAGAGTTGTAATATATCTTTTATCTTCCCACAGATGGTAAAATCCAGGAAACTCTTCATAGAGCCAGAGGGCATGAACTTAAGTGAGTTTTATCTTTGTTTTGATCGTAGTTATGCAGCACTATACATAGTTAATACTTATGTGTATAATGTGTATAACACATCATTCCTGTGTTTCCCACAGGAATGATGACATCCGGCTCCAAGGTTCAGAAGCTAAAATAATATATTTTTATTTAGGAAACGTACATACATAGATGCAGAGTTACAAACATACTGTTGGATTTATAGATAGAGCTAGTACATACAATACCTAAAGCCACTAATAAGCAAAGCGTTTCGGGCAAGGCAAAACAAAAGCTGATCCTGTTGTACCTCCTGCAGGAGAGACAAAGGTATAATTCATATATTTGTTCAAGCCTCTTCATATGGTACGGTACAGGCCAGAGCATTTTTTTTTTATTATTATTTTCTACCACAGACGTGGCCACACATTTACAATGCTAAGCAGCATGTATACATTTTCTTCTGTCCTCCATGGACAGGGTTAGAGATGTGTTAAACATATAGTTCAAGGGTTTATTGAACAATCAACCACAGAAGGTGATTCGGTGTTTTTAAAATGCTAAGCTAACCTACATACGTAAATACATAGATACATAGATTTACGTATACCCTACATAAAGTGTTCAATGTGTCTTTTACATAGTGTCATTAATGTGCATTTACAAAGGTGAAAAGCAGTATGTACTACATGTTTTTCAAGTGTGAAGGGTCTGAATGGGTCGCTTGAGACCTTTGGCAAATCCCAATACTGTATGTACCTCATATATTGTTCCGTGAGACTAGAAATGCAAGTTTTGGTCTTGGTATCTAACTGAATATGCTAATTTACAATATTCAGTACACAAGTAGTAGTGCTTGTCACACAAGATCGTCATCTGATTGGAAACTGGTTCATGTAAAGTTTATATTGAACATTAATATTACTAAATACTTTGCTAAGTATATAATTCTTCTCTCCAGCGACAGATATAGTGGCCATGTTGTCAATGGCTGTCAACACGACACTGAGCAAGCAGAAGTCAGAGTGTCCCATGTTGTACACACGAGTTGGTGACCTTTGTCTCGCCTTCTTCTCCCCCGCTAAGGTAAACCTTCAATATAATTACTGTAATTTTAACAATTCCCAACGTGGACAAAAGTAGGTGCAGTATTTAGTCTCAATCTTTTCTGCTCACATTCTCTCTTATTTATAATGTTTTACGCGACAGAAAACAATTATCTCAATTATTTGTTTTTTTAAAGACAGTATTTTTAGATATTATTGTTAGAGACTAATACTACCAATGCTCCTGTTAATGCAGATGCAGGTAAGGACATACAAAGTATTAAGACGGGATTTTTAGGTCCCCACCAATGCAGGTTCCATGTTCTTTGTCTTACCAACTCCCCTTTGTTTTTATTTTGGTTTATTATAATATATGTTTGTTCCCCGCCACAAGTTGTCATGGGCGGAGGCGAGACAGTTCTGCCACTCCATCTACGGGGAGCTGTTCTTCTTCAATGACTTTGCAACCTTCGGCACTGTGCTCCACTATATGAAGCAGTCACGTAAGATACTGTTTTTTTGTAATAGACTTCATAAATCATCCCTGGTGATCAAAATCTGTCTTAACACTTTATTTATTTATTTATTTATTTATTTATTTATTTATTTATTTATTTATTTATATACAAGAAGGTACATTGGGATTGTGAGGATACATAATATGGTAATTACAATCTTGTAAAGCCACTAGTACGCACAGCGTTTCGGGCAGTCATCTTCACTCTTAAGATGACAATATTACTGGTTATGATATCATTGTCCACCGAGATATTTACTCATCTCATTCATATTATTACCTCTAAGACATGCCCATACTGTGAGTACAGTAATATTGGTTTTGTTAGTATGTACCTAAGTATATAATTTATCCATATAAATTAAATTGTAACTGCTGTATCCACTGTATAGACTGTATTATATGTACGCACAAACGTTTTTACCAAAACCTTATCAATATATTTTACAGATATTTTTACTTTATCTTATCCAAAAAATACGATCGAGGAATGTGCTCTTCATCTTGTTCGGTATTTTAACATTTTCAGAGACATCTGCCCTGCCATAGGAGGGCAGATCTTTGAAATGTTTTTTAATCATTCAGGTATCATTGTCTTATGATACCTGAATGGACGCCACATATGATATTACAACTTAAATTTACTTAAAACCACATTGTGGCACTGTAAACCTTTCGAGGGGGGGGGGGGTGTAGAAATAGCCTAAGCTACTCTATCCCTTTGAGATGTATTTATTGCTTATCTCAATAAACATACTTGAACTTGAACTTGAACCTTTCGACCACCGCCCACGGGATGGGTATGGGATGCATAATAATTGATTGAATGAAATGAATAATAGTCAATGTACAATGTTTGGATAATTAGCCACTTTAATTAATGCGCAAATTACACAGCTCAGAATAAACAGTTGTTTACGTAAACCCGGAGGAGGAAAAGCTGATTTAGCCTTTATGTCACTGTTGCAGTACTGACGTCAGACTACTGGGTTGGTGGACGCTACGACCTGGACACTAACGCCTGGTCCTGGGCGGTTGATGACGCCCCGATGCCTCTGGGCTCTCCTTACTGGGCTGAGAGGTTAGTCTACCTGTACAAGACCTTACTATACCTGTACAAGAGTTTAGTGTACCTGTGTAAGAGCTTAGTGTACTTGTACAAGAGCTTAGGTATAGTGGTCCTGTACAAGAGCTTAGCTACACTGTTCCTGTACAAGAGTTTAGTGTACCTGTGCAAGAGCTTAGTGTACCTGTGCAAGAGCTTAGCTACACTGTTCCTGTACAATTGACAGTAAACATGTCAATGACCATATGAAAGGCAAATACTTGCGTGAACAATTTAGCTAAGAATAAAAAGTTCATCCAGTCTAAGCCATCAACTCCAGCTCAACTTCTGCTGGACGGTAGAGTGACGGTCTCGCTTCATGCAGGTCGGCGTTCAATCCCCGACCGTCAAAGTGGTTGGGCACCATTCCTACCCCCCGTCCCATCCCAAATCCCTATCCTGATCCCTTCCCAGTGCTATATAGTCGTAATGGCTTGGCGCTTTCACCTGACAGTTCCTTCCCTTCCAGCTCGACATATCATAAACAGACAAATATTGATTGATGAAGATTAAGCCACCCAAAAGGTGGCACGGGCATGAATAGCCCGTAAGTGGTGGCCCTTTTGAGCCATTACCATTATCAAGAGCTGATACTGGAGATCTGTGGAGGTGCGACTGCACCCTGCGTGACGGGAGACGTCTCCCGGACAAATACTGGTTTGGTTAGACATATATATGAATGGGTTTAGGTGGATATAAATAGGAGCTGCTACTTGTGGGCAAATAGACCTTCTGCAGTTTCTTCATTCTTATGTTCTTTTCTTACGTAAATACATCAGCGCTCACGAACTCAATACAGAATATCGAAAACTGAAATATTCATGACAAAATTGTTTCCGATTCCTACTGTAGGATTCGATAGTATTCGTACCACGATTAACGTACAAATTTACTACATTTTAGGACGAAGATAATTTATTTAAATTTTGGTTCAATAATTATTTTTATTGCTTAAAAATCTCATCGATGGATATCAAATTTTGTTTTATTAATTATTAATTTAACGGTATTATTAAGCTTATTACATATATGTGTAATAAACAAATTAAAGGATAATGTGCATTATTTTAACATATTTACCTAGAGAACAGTTCCTACTTATACTACATAAAAAGCTAGCCAATATATTTAGAATATTCTGTTATTTGAATTACAAATTGTAACATAATTACAGGCACAACATCAGTGTTGTAACGAAATTAGAGATACATAATGTAAAGGGACTACGGATATATCAAATAATACTGTAACGGTATTGCAGATACAGCAAATAATTTGATAAGGTCATTACAGGTACAATAGCTCGTGCGTGCCCAGGTCACCTGCCCACACTGACCCCTTCAGCGGGCCGGCGGAGGCGCTGCCCGGCGCCCCGTGCTTCCACTACCTCCAGGCGCCCAGACAACGCACTCCGGGATGGTAATACTCTCTCATCAATACTATTATGTATTAGCGATAAGACCTACCATTAATGTATGATGACTTACTGTAAATATGTAGCTCTTGTAATAGCACTTTCTCTGTAACTAGCTGACATTGTAACTATAAGGTGTGAAGAATAGATGAAATTGTTTATGTAATAATCTAACATGAGGTCTGATAAAGACCTTATGTGCCCTCTGTAATGCTTTTGCGCTACCGCTCACAGGAGGAGTATGGGGTGCACAATAAACTAGCCGCCTCCGGCGGCAACAATCAATCTCATCAATACTTCACTTGGGGCACTACTCTGAATACAATTTGTTGAATATTCTGGATACAGTTTGTTGAATATTCTTGATGGTTTGCTGACTATTTTGATCAGTTTGCTGAATATTCTGGATATAGTTAGCTGCATATTTTTATTTCAGTTTGCTGAATATTCAGGATAGAGTTTAGAGATAATTTGTGTGCTTTTTTATGTGAAACTTCTGAATTGTTTGCCAGTTGAGGCGTGAAGGTACAGACGAGTTGACACCAAAAATCACTCCTTAAAAATATATTTATCACTCGCGCGATTGTTTCAGCATTTTAGTGGTCGTGTACACGATATTACTCACGTATTTACATTTGACCTTCTTGTACCAAATATTGTATCCATACTGAAAGCTATTTTTGTTCAGAACCGAAAAGTCCAGGATTCACTTCCTGTAGGTGGACAAAAGCCTCTAGGCAACGTTTCATATCAACTGATGCCTCTGTTCACCAAGCAGTAAGTTAGCCGAGGACCCCTGGGTGGACCTCAATAAACCATTCATGCTTCAAGATCCGGAAAATGAGAAACTAATACAGTACCGCATTTCTTTTCAGATTGATTTGTTTCAAATTCCCACGAGAAATGAAGTAACATCATGCATGGAGCTTCACATTATTGAAACATAAAATAAATATTTATTTCAGGCCCCAAACAGATGAAACACTTTACACACAAGATTATACAATTGTAAACCTTATATTGGGTGTTCAGTATGTTTGTTAAATCATTTCCTTATTTAAGCTGGACATTTTGACTTGCAGGTGCTCGGCTTTAACCAGTGAACACTTCTACTACATCAGCGACGAGGCTTGTCTAGACACTCGCAGTCCTCTTTGCATCTACAATTTCCACGAAAAGAATGAAATCTAATCTTTATGTTTGATCTAACTCCCTTTCTGGATTCACCAACTACACACAATGCATGAATAGCATCGCCATGTTTGCCCTAAATTAATGAAGATTGTGTTGTTAAACAATTGCCATTCAGCAGTGTAAGAGGTGAACCCTCTCTATATATCACATTCCGCCTGTGTCCTGCCACTCTAGACACTACAGTAACACAAGACACTCCACAACAACACATTTGATCTTAAAGTGCGGACATTAACCCAAGAAACATATATCACCTTGACACTCACACACTCCAATATAAACCTTGAAATAGCCATGCTGCCATACACAGGCCTAACCACAGGACGCACATTCAAGCACAAAACTTCACCAAATATTGTATTTTTTTCCAATGTAACTATACTTAACCCGGTAAATAAATTATTTTAGACTATGATTTTAAATCTTTATGGTATTCTTTTTATGAATATGCTTATTTTTAAAGCTGTGCAGTATGCTAGTCTTACGTAAGCTGTACAGTTAGTGTTTTTTTTATATGATGAGTAGTATGCTAGTTTCTTGAGCTGTGAAGCCTAACATTCTAATTTCTTAAGCTGTTCGCTAGCTTATAAAGCGATATAATATAACAGCACTTTTCATGTATAAAATTACGGTAAATATGAAAAAATTAGTGTACAGTAGATATTTTTTCTATCAATTTAAACAAAATTAAAGTTTTGTATTGAAGTTGCAAACTATCATATTAATAAAATTTTTAAATATCAATCAACTAAGTATTTTACTGGAACAGTTTTCCTTCAAACCGGTATTGGGCAGAAATTTGGAAACATGAGAACCATTTCCAATTTTGGTGGTACGGTAAGCAAAACAGTCTAACATGTTCCCTGTATGTTGGCCAAGCGCCCCACCCAGCCTATGCCCAGCAGGATGAGGTTTTCAGAGTGATTGCTATATAAGTGTTTTCTGTAAACTATAACACAGTGTAATAAACTATATAAATCATATTTCATAAACTAATAAAACAGTAGGGGCGACAGAAGAAAATATTCGTGTTCAGAGAATCTACAAGGTCTCCTCTGAATTATTCTCTTCTCTGACTGTGAGGTCCCCACAATTGTACCAGTGGTGGTATCCCGGTAATATATATTCTGGCAGACCTTTTAATAATAATAATAATAAATAAATGACATCTACTTATTATCCATTAAATATCCCCCACACTAGATACTGTATTACAGATCCATCCTACAAGAATTTATTATATCACATACAATTGTGATGTTCAACCTGTTCAAGTATGTTTATTGAGATAAGCAATAAATACATCTCAAAGGGATAAAGTAGCTTAGGCTATTTCTACCCCCCCCCTCAACCTGTTTTGTCAACACTATTCCTCTCACTTTCGCAGCTGGCCATAATACAAAGGGAAGAGTAAAGAAGCAGTAAAGTCATACCTTTCCCAGGGAAGGATTGCACCATGGTTGAGACGGCCGCACCTGCACCACCCGCGGCTGGCGGCACCGACCTTCACTTTATCCTCCCGTGTTCACCTCGCCTGTCATGAGTGACACGTCCAGTCATTTACTCAAAGGCAAATTGTGTGGTGGCAGTGTATATCCAAACTATTATTTCTAGATAATTAAAATACCCATATATATCTACTTTCATTATATTTTAAAATTAGGCATAACCATATATGGAAAGGAACATTTTGCCCGCAGACACTATAAATTATCGATCTTTCACATATTTTAAGTCTTCGTCCAGATTTTTTTTTTGTATCGGGGTAAAGCGCCAACCATTACGACTTTATAGCACTGGGAAGGGGTCAGGATAAGGATTTAGGATGGGACGAGGGGAGGATGGGGGGGGAAGGAATGGTGCCCAACCACTTGGACGGTCGGGGATTGAACAGTGTAATAAATTAATAATTTATTACACTGTTGGGGACACAGGTGGAAACTGAGTATCCAAATAAGCCACAAATTAGAAAGATTTTTTTAGTGTGAGAGTAGTTAACAGATGGAATGCATTAGGCAGTGATGTGGTGGAGGCCGACTCCATACACAGTTTCAAATGTAGATATGATAGAGCCCAGGAGGCTTAGGAATCTGTACACCGTGATACCATTAAAAACCTTTCACTTAACACTTTAAAATCAATGTTGGAAAATTTGAAAAAAAAAAACAACATTACATTACATTTTATTTGCATGGATATTAAATTGTATATATGCAAATATCACTTAATTTGCAGACATGATTGAAATGCCCTTCAGCAGGCTTTGTGCACGTGACCTTCAGGAGACTTGGTATTACACATCCTATCACCTGTGCACAAGAGCTATTCCAACTAAGGCACAGGTCTCACTAGTATGATTTACAAACAGTGCGATGTTGCAACTCTGCCACCAAGTTAAAGCACCAAATTATGATATTTTACTAGCAAATTTAATGCTTGGCTCTAAGGAGAGCTTTCTCAAATTTGAGAAAACTTTCTCCAGATCAAAAGTTGTTAAAAAAGATCTGCCAATTTAACAATTTAACTTTACTCGGGTGCCAGTGTCTCATACTTCCTCCCCAACATACTTATACGTGCATATTTTTCTATGTAAACAGTACAAAATATTATACATGCTGCCATGTCCATCAGGTAACATACATGCTCATACATGAACAAAAGGTAGCATTACATATACTGTACTCCTGTATACAAATGGTAACATTATGCATCTTCCCATGTACAATAGTAACATTACACACGTGCCCATGTATAACATAACAAATGTTCCAATGTGTAAAACAGGCAACATAAATGGTCCCATGTACAACAGGTAATATTATAGTTACCCGTTTATACAATATATGCTTCCATGTATGGCAGGTAACATTATCAATACCCCCATGCACAACAGGTCGGTCTGTCTCGGTCTCGGTCTCTCTCTCTCTCTCTCGGTCTCTCTCTCTCTCGGTCTCGGTCTCTCTCTCTCTCGGTCTCTTTCTCTCTCGGTCTCTTTCTCTCTCGGTCTCTTTCTCTCTCTCGGTCTCTTTCTCTCTCTCGGTCTCTCTCTCTCTCTCTCTCTCTCTCTCTCTCTCTCTCGGTCTCTCTCTCTCTCTCTCGGTCTCTCTCTCTCTCTCTCGGTCTCTCTCTCTCTCTCTCGGTCTCTCTCTCTCTCGGTCTCTCTCTCTCTCTCGGTCTCTCTCTCTCTCTCTCTCTCTCTCTCTCTCGGTCTCTCTCTCTCTCTCTGTCTCTCTCTCTCTCTCATGTGTACAAAAGGTAGTATTATAGATGGTCCCTTGTACAAAAGGATGCATTATAGACACCCCCATGTACAACAGAACACATTATTCTAAATTCTGAGGTTAAGATAAAACTTGCATCCATCTTCCTATTGTAAAATGCTTTATCATATTTACATTTATTTGTAATTGACAAGTTCACCTATATTTTTTTCTGATAGTGATTGCTGTTAATTTAGGTATTTAAGTTTGGACACTGCAATGTTTGAGGCTTTTTATCACCATTCTTCATGTGACCGTACTTACGTTACACCTCCTTTGACACTACACATTTTTCATCTATATCATTTCCAAAAATATTATTACAATCTATTCAGTTTCTTTTCACTAACACTCTTGAAATGTTTTCTTATAGAGCCTTCCTTAATGTGTAGATCGTCTGAAGTAACTTTTTATACCTTTAATTCCCGAGTTAAAGTAAGAGAATGTAATCACTTTTACAATGCTCAAGTCCCCAGAGTTTTTCCAGATAATTTTTTATATCAGAAATGTTTACCAAGAAATAATGTTTGCCAAGAGATTCTTCATGGAGAATTCAGTGAATGCCAAACTAGGCATTGTAACATACAGTCAGGACACTAACTAGTACATCCATTCATGAGAATAATTTAAATGCCATAAAACCCTTCATATATCCTAAGAGTTAATCAATACCATTTTACCAACATATGAAGCAAGAGGTTTGCACAAGCAAATTATATATTAATAAGAAAAAACATGTTTGGCAAGATGCCCAAAGTAATTTCTGGAAAACTTACCATCACTTTTCTTACACACTCATTATACTTTGTATATTACTCAAGAGGAATGTTTTTTTAAACAGAGAAATGGAAGAATATGCAATTAAGTAATGCAAGCAAGTCATTTCCAAGCTCACCAATGTAGGGAGCTGGTTTGCCTTAGTGTTGGACTTGAAGGCCTATGGACTGTGGAATGGCTATTAGTCACAACAACAGTTTACTGGCCAACTATCAAGTATATTTTCACTGTAAACAAAGTTTAATGCCCCAAAGTTCATATAAAGTCCAAAGTTCATGTAAGCTCTAAGTGCAAATAAAATATTTTATGCGAGATATATTTTTTAGTGTATATATCCGAGTATGAGGTTATCTTGTACAGGTTAAGTGAAAAGCAAATATTAAGCAGACGTAAGCAAATTTTGTACAAGCAAGTAATTACAAAGATAAATTACCAAGCCAGTATGAGGTATATGGGATGCTTTCTATAAGTAATCAACATATTAAAAATTTATTCTGCAGAGAAAAACAAGAGCGACGAGTAAACTTAAGACAGAGAACAGCAGTAGTGACATGTAAGCTTAGGAAGAGGACAACTTTGGGCTTGGCAATCATGTACACTTACAAACTATATTTGTCAATATAACCTTGACAGCAACTGTCTGCCAAATCAAATTACATTGCAATGAATACATCAATATTTTATATACATGGTTACCATAATATTTTTTACATGAAAATTTGAAAACTTTCCATAATTGTCTTCATTATTTTATCCATAACAACTTTTATACTTTTTACAGATATACTTTCAAATGAGATTTCTCATACATGATCAGTTAGCAATAAATAGTTGGTACAGTATTGCAAATACTGTCAATTCTGATATGATATCCACTTCAAGAGTAAACTTACCCTTCTTGAAGTGATTAGCAATATCAATATTTCACTATCCTAAGTACACCAGGAAAAGGAACACCTGCTGAATTGCATTTACAGGAACTATTCTCTTACAAATCACTGAACATAAAGCATTCAGCTTAATTTTCAAGCGACCTTATGGAATGATACTTAGGAGTTAAATTTATAGTACGATTTCACAATTATACATTTCAGATAGCAAATGCATACACAGTACATAACATATTACATCATGCAATGTATAATATACATATTACACAGTAAAACAAAATATATATATATTTGTTAACTATGAATAGCAATTGTTCTGTTTCCCATGTTGCACAAAATGGCACTTATTTCTACACACATGAAGAGTATGTGCAAGGGAATTCTATTAGATTTTGTTTTATGTATATTTAACGTTGTTTACAAAAACAGCTTCAATAATGAAATATTTGCATAAAATGGAATTCAATCTTTCTGCATGGCTGTTAGAGCAACACTACACATTGCACTTATCAATATATTAACCTTATGCATTGCACCTGTCAATATATTAATTATATCCATTGCACATGCCAATATATTATTTCTATGCATTGCATATGCCAATGTATTAATGCAGCTCTCTTGGCCAAACATGAATTAAACAAAAATTATCCACTTCAACACTTAAATTAATAATGCACATTTTATAAAATATAAAAACTAAATTGCTCATAAAGACAATATATAAACTTACACTACTGTATATCTATACATGAAGATTATCATAGAATATTCACATTGGACAAATAATGTGGCTATTATCTACACAGGTAAAAAT